AATGTGAGAAAAATAACAACATTATGATTAAAGAAGAAAATACGGAAAACAATCCATGTGATTGATATGGACACAATGTGTAGTAATCATAAGATTGATTGTAGTTCTTTCTTTCTTTCTTTCTTCTTTCTGCTTTTCTTTTCTTCTTTTTTTCTCTTTTTCTTTAAAAATACATGTTTATATTGTATAAATGATCACATGTAGAGAAGTGTTTATAAGTTGCCCTCATATAAATCAATAGATTTAAGTAAAGTGCATTTTTATTTCTATGCTTACAGAGAAGGATTTAATGGATATGATAGTAATTTCAATAGTTGAATTCATGAGTCAATTAAAGCTAGATCATCATGAAATATCTAGAAGCACTGGATGGTCATTTCAATTTAATGTGGGACTTCTCAGCAATGAGTATTTACGATATCGCCTCTCTGGATTCGGTCTCGAGCGCAAACGCTTAACCTCTAAACCACTGAGACAGACAGCCTGCAACCAACGGTGTTAAGGTATAACTTCAACCAATCCAAGAAAATGAGCGACACATCATCCACTGTCTTCAGGGAGTTACTATCTCAGGACAGACCTGGTTGTACCCCACTGGTCACTGCTTCTCATTAGAACTCCAGGATATACATCTTGAAGCCAGTCACTAGTGAGCATAAGATGATTATAATCAGAGAGGTGTTTTATGGAGATTTTAGCAATTTACTAGTTGAATTCATGAGTCAATTGAAGCTTGATCAGTGGAGTTCAACTGGATCTGTTGTGAGATAGTAACTCATTGAAGATAATGGTGGATGGTGGTAAAATTTGTGAATTGGTTGAACTTAGACATTAACATCGATGGATGCCGGCCGGCTCAGTAGTCCAGAGGTTAAGCGTTCGCGCACGAGATTGATACGTCCTGGGTTCGGATCTCAAGAGGTGGGATCGTGGATGCGCATTGATGTGCAGTCCCACACTGAGACGAAACGGCCGTTCAATGCTTCCAGGTTTTCCATAATGGTCTACCTTCAATTAACTTATCAACTCAACTATTAAATTATTATGATATACGAGTCACTAGTTTAAATCAATTAACAAGATTTATGAACAAAAGTATAGGCGTATATGTTAACTATTTCTTGCATTAAATTACACTAACGAACAATTGAGTAAAGGCCAAATAAACATCAATATTGTTAATACAATCATGTAAACAATTATAATAAAGTCAGCAACGTAGACAATTTTAGGTAGTAACCGGAAGTAATCAGTAGGAAACTTCTGATTTGAGCTTCTTCCTATTTAGAACTAGTTATCAAATATTATTGACCAGTTGTCAAGAAATATCTACACTTATTTATTTAACAAAATCCATCCTCATTTTGTTTCTATAAACTCAAGGAACTAATCAAAGGGGCTGACTGCAAATAAGTTAATTTAATACCTGAAATAAAAGGGAGAATGTATTAGACGCTTCTAAGTGTTTTTTTTTAAGTATTGACCTAATTTAGTTGATGTTCTCTATATAAGGATGCATCTACCAGTAATGACTAAAGTTTAAATTATCAGCTATATAGGTTAATTAAGGAACTTTTATTATCGTTGTGAGAAACATTATCTGGGTCTACTTCATATAGAATCTAGTTACTTAGATATCCTGCAAACAATAACTTAATTTATTTGTGATTGATTGCCTTAATTTGTCCATGAGAACTCCATAGTCAAATCGTATTGCCCATTGAAGTTAACCTTACTAAAATCAACCAACTAAGTTAGCTCATCTCAAAATCTTGAATATATATATTCTTTATAAATTTAAAATAACCCGCGTCGCGGTAATCGGTGTTCAAGCATATGTAACACAAGATCCAACCATCTCAGTCGACGGTGATTTACAACCTCATCAAGTGATTTACTATCATTCTCTAATCCCCTATGTTTAACCTCACCATTACTTAGCTGATGATCCCAGTAGATGCGAGCAATATTTCTAAGGTATTTGATCAAATCGTAGTAGCTAACGAGTATCTTCTACTGTTAATGTCCACGTTTCGCAGCTGTAAATGAGAACAGAACAAAATGCTGTGCAGTATACTCGTCTCTTAATTGATAGACGATATCTTGCGTTCACAATCATATGAATCAGCAGTTTCCGAATCAGTGTTTTGAAAACGTCTATAGGGATTGTGGCGAAGTCAGCAAGGTCCTGAGTTCCATCTCTGGTATGTCATTAATTCACATTGTTTGTCAGTTTCGAATTATGACAAAACTACAGTCCCGGTGTCAGGCAAGGCTGTTTACTCAAACCCTTTCTCTTTCTCCTGGAGATCGACTGGATTATGAAGACCTCAACATCTGGGGGGGAGTAAATGGAATACAGTGGATAGCACACATTGGGGAATGCACCTAACTGAGTCACAAGGCAAGCCCTCACACGGAATCCCCAACGTCAACGGAAAAGAGGAAAACCAAAGAACACATTACGTTGAGAAATGGAAACAGTCATGAGAAGAATGAACAACGATTGGATAGAACTAGAAAGGAAAGCCTAGGACAGAATGGGTTGAAGAATGCTGGTTGGCGGCATATGTTCGATTGCGAGTAACAGGCTTAAGTAAGTAAGTAAGTAAGACTGTCCCTTAGATGATATCAGAGGTCTAATTTCAAAATATCTCTTTCAATCAATTCATTAAATATCATCGACAATTAGTTAAAGCAATTCATAGTTTAAGGTTGTGAAGATGATTAAGTTATTGATTGAGATCATGGACCGATTGATGTTAGACCAACCATTGAAAACCTGGAATCACTGGAAGTAATTCACATCAAACAATTGAATATTTACACCGGAAATTCTCTAAATTCAATAAGTGTATTAGTATAGTATAATATTAGTGAACAGTTATAATGAGATAAATATAAACAATTAATGAATGTATATGTGAATAGATTACAGGTTTTGTCTTACTGGATAATATGACCTGATCTAAGTTTCGAAGATCTACACTGAGTGTTATCCGTGTTCTGTCGTTCAAGTTACAAACTGGTTACTAATTTAAATGAATGATGATTTCTAATAAACCTAAAATCAAGATAGATCACTATTGAAAACCTGGAAGCACTGTACAGACCTTTCATCCTATTGTGGGACTCTTCAACAGTACGCAATCTGTTGGTTTGACTTGTTTACAACTGTTTAACTAACAACCAGTTATATGACTACGTCTAGAAAGAAATTGTTGGATATAATTTGGAAGGTACAACCCATTAGTTGAAATCTTATTGTCTAAACTAATCAGTCATTATTAAAAAATGGAATTAATGTTTGGTAGCGTATGTTATTTCGTTTCTTGACGAATTAATTTACTATATGGTAATACGTTAAACAAGTAAATAGTTGATTTCATGAGGCAATTAAAGCTAGACCACCACGGTAAACCTGGAAGCAATGAACGACCGTTTCTTCCAAATATGGGACTCTTCAGCAGTGCGCATCCACAATCGCGCCCGCCGGTTTCGAACCCCAGGACCTGTCGGTCTAGTGCAAAAAAGTTTGATCTCTAGACCGCTGATGGTGTTAATGTCTAACTTCAACCAATTCACGAAATTGTGCCACCGTCCACCACTGTCTTTAGTGAATTACTGTCTCTCAACAGACCCGGTTTAGCTTTAACTGACTCATGAATTCAACTACTAAATTAAGTAAAGAATGTTTAACTAAATCAGTATTGAAATTCCATGTATTTAGCTTTGTAGTCAAATCGATTGTGAATGGATTCTTGCCGTGACAATGAATCAGGTTACAATGTGAAATTATCGCCTAACAGTAATCGCTCTAATGGTTGACTTTATCTCCTAGCTTTTGATTAATCGATCGATTTCATACAATCAACAATAAGAAAATCTTAATACAGCACTCAACTTAACAATTGATAGCAACATCAATCATCAATTCAAAGATGTTATTTGCACGAATTGACGGTTAGCTCCATATAACATGAACTAGAGATTAGTTTGTGCAACAACTTATAGGTAAACTGAAGAAGTGAGACGCTAAAGTAGCCTTGAGAATGTTCTCCTACCGATTAGGGTTAAATGAGGGTTATAAACAAGTGTGTGTGATGAATTAGGATTATAATTTGACAATTGATGGTTAGGGATAGGGATTGGATTTAAAGTTTTTATCACGAATTACCATCAGCTAAAATGCTAAAACGTTATTTAGACAAATGTATGGATGAATTTCGCGCCAAAATCCAAGACCAGTTATCTTATATCTGATTGGTTCATCCATAAATTATGGTCTTACTGGTATCATTACAAAAGGAGCATTAGTTAACATATCAGGGTGGATTTAATTCACTATTCTATAACTAACAAGATATTTAACGACTTCTATGTATTATACAATACCCAAAGTATTGTCTACAAAATCGTAAAATTGCACAATTCATTATCTTCATTAAAATTGGACAAAACTGTGGTATGTGCTATTCATCTAGACAGATATAAGTAGTATGTATCATCAATCAAAAGTGATATGTCTGAAGGCAGAAGGTTAAGACGATCAAAGAAAAGAGAACAAGAACAATGAATGATTGGTATGGAAATGAAAGAACAAGGAAAACTATGGCAACTGTTTGACATTTTGCAAATGAAGTCTTCGCTGTATGATTCTCAGATTTTGCTAAGTTTTTCTATGATTTTGTGTGTTCAATTACATTCGATTGTGCCTAATTGTGATCCCGTTTACTACAAAACTAGTATATCACCAAAAGAATATAGACAACTAATAAACAACTTTCGTTTAAAAAAAACATACACACTAATGGTACTTTTTAAGCACAGATAGATAGTAGCTAGCAGTGGAATCCAGTTTGACGCGTATTTAGCCCTATTTAGGACTGCTAATATGAGACTGATCAATTACAGCCCTAAATAACAATGGGAAGATACAAGTAAAACAACACCAAGTGAATTTACATTAATGGTATTGTGAAAAAAAAATATAGACTTACGTCCAGTTGGTTTCGAATTTAAATATCCAGAAAGACGTTGCCAACTTGACATATTTCCGCCTTCTGAACGGATGTCTTATCAATGACTCTGTATGAATATTTTTAAAAAAAATACTATTCCTGTTTGTTCTGTTGTTTGAATTCCCGCTTTAATTGAAAATCCCTCTATTATATTCTGTTTTAAATATTAATATAACAGTTCTTCTGATGATAAGATTAGGTTGTGTGTGTGTGTGTGCTTGTTTGCTTTAACACGACCAGATCCTTTATTTTTCTTGAATGATTTCAATTTGAGTGTTTGTTTTATATTTGAAAGATCCTTTTTTGGATGATCTCAATGTGGATGTTTATTTTAACTTCACTAGATCCTGTTTCCTGAATGATTTCAATGTGGATGTTTGTTTTAACTTCACTAGGTCCTGTTTCTTGAATGATTTCAATGTGGATGTTTATTTGAACTTGACCAGATCCTTGTATTTTGAATGATTTCAATGTGGACAGTAACATAAAGTTTTAACAATTACACTAAATATATGTTAGTAACTAATTCTTCAATGATTTATTGGAAACAATAACTAATGAAAGAAGACATTATATTATTATTTAATAAATTGTTTTATTCATTAGATAACTAAAATACCATTGGTCATCTGATATCAATAAAAGTCGATAATGGTATATTTTCACTTTCTTATTTGTGTATAAAGCTAATATCATTGTGCTCAAATGAATAATAACACATATATATATACAAGTGAATGTGTTTATGATCAATTAACCAATAGAGGTACGAGCTGTTAAAGGACAGATACTATGGTAGATATATATGTGTGTGTGAACTACATCTGCATACACTTATACTTCATGTATAGCACATATATATTGGTGTATACCTTCTAATAAATGAGCTGTGATTTTCATTATAATCTAAGTGATTTATAATGATTATGAATTTAATTTCATTAAAGAAAGTTGTATGTTATCAAGAAGTTAACTTGATAAACAAAGTATTTTGAAGTGGAACGTTAGCCTAATGTTATAGTTTATATATAAAGGGGTAGAAACAGTCTAAAAGTATAAGTAGTTTAATATAAAAATATACATAGCATTACCACATTAAATTAGAACTCTTCTTTTTGGAATAGATAGTTTATTCGTTACACTTTTAATTCTTTTCTAGATAAGGTCAGTATAAATATTCTATTACAGGAATTCATTATGTTGTATTTGGTTGTGACGGAAAAAGCCGTTGATCACTTATACTCGGAATGAGGGAGGAACTTCGGCAATTCTCACGGCACGAAGTAAGAACACAAGACTGGTATAAGTGATGATTTATTAGCCTCAAAACACGACGACGACAAACGATGAATCAAAATAGTCTAAAATACACTGGTTTATATATTGATTTTACACCCATTTCTGATTATTAATTAGGATTAGTATCAGAATGGGTTTTGTGGAGAGTTTTGGAAATTTCACAGGTTCAAATCATGAGTCGATTGAAGCTCGACCACCATTGAAAACCTGGAAGCACTGGACGGCCGTTTCATCCTGGCATAGGACTCCTCAGCAGTGAGCATCCACGATCCCGCACCACGCGAGGCTCGGACCCAGGGCCTACTGGCTTCGCGCACGAGCACTTAACCACTAGACCACTGAGCCGGCATCCAACGGTGTTAATGTCTAACTTCAACCAATCCACGAAGTTGCGCCACCGTACACCATTGTCTTCGGTGAGTTGTTATCTCACAACAGACCGGTTGAACTCCACTGGTGCGGGATCGTGGATGCGCACTGCTGAGGAGTCCCATACCAGGACGAAACGGCCGTCCAGTGCTTCCAGGTTTTCAATGGTGGTCTAGCTTCAACTGACTCATGATTTCAACCTGTGAAATTAGGATTAGATCAAATACTCAGTTATAACAAATCACAGACTGAGTATAGTTCATGTCAATGGAATACAAGAATATCTCGTATATTATACAGAATTAAATATCATACTGGGAAAAGAAAACAAATACTACATTGAGTAATCATTACATTGAATTAGAAGGGAAATAATATTGAACAAAACTCATAATGAATAAATCAATCGAATATTGATTTTTCTTCCCATCATATCACATTAGAACCTCTCCATATATGGTTAATAGATTATTCTCTTAACATGATGTTAGACATGAAATTATTGAGTCTGATGTGTGCTAAGGTTATCTGACTGTTGATTTCTAAAGTGTTACAAATTATAATTACTTACTTCACTAGGTATTGTCTTTTACTTGTATCTTCCCATTGAGGTTTAACACTGCAATTGATCAGTGTGTTATTGGCATATGTGCATACTGTGTGTATGCCTCGATATTGTCTGAATTCACAAGCTATTTGTAAGCAATGATGGATAGTGGCTAGCAGTGGAATCCAGTTTGACGCGCGTTTAGTCCTATTTGGGACTCGTCAGTTGGATGTACCTGCATCTGAGAGAGTTGATGTTCACTGTGGGACTCGAACCCAGTACCATTCGCTTCAAACGCTATCGCGTTATCCACTCATCTACTGAGTCCTGATAGCCACTTGCTTGTGTAATGGGGTGAATTTAAGTTCACTTGGTATTGTTTTGTTTATATCTTCCCATACTTACTTACTTACTTACTTACACCTATTACTCCTAATGGAACATTGGCCACCGACCAGCATTCTCAAACATACTCTGTCATGGGTCTTCTTTTGTACTTCTATCCAATTGTTCTTTATTCTTCTTATGTCTGTCTACATTTGTCGGAGTAATGTGTTCTTCGGTCTTCCACTTCTCCTATGGCTTTGAGGATTCCATGTGTGAGCTTGCTTTGTGACGCAGTTGGGTGCTTTCCTCAATCTGTGTTCTATCCACTTCCAGCGCTTCTTCTTGATTTCAACCTCCATTGGAATCTGGTTTGTTCTCTAACACAGTAGGTTGTTGCTGATAGTTTCTAGTCAACGGATCCGAGGTATTTTTTGTAGACGACTGTTAATAAACACTTGTATCTTCTGGATGATTTGTTTCGTAGTTCTTCAAGTTTCTGCCACATACAGTAGAACTGTTTTGACATTTGTATTGGAAATTCTGACGTTGGTGTTGGTTGACAGATAGTTGTTTTGAGTTCTAGATGATCTTCAATTTTAGATATTTTGCTCTAGCCTTGATGATCCATACCTTTACATCTGCATCAAATCCACCGTGTCCCAAACTAAAACAATCATATATTCAGTATTCCTTGGTTTTTTTAATTCATCACCTAAAATAAATTACTGAATTTCTTGATTTGATTACAACAGATTTTTGTTAAATGGATCAAAGTTGACTTGGATTTTGTTGAAGCTAATTCATTAATCCCCCTGATACTTCAAGATATCCGTTGAAACTATCTTTTTATCATTAATTTATTCAGAACACTAACAAGTGAGTTTTCTTTTTACTGGAAATAGATACTTATATTCACAATTAATCGTTTTGTCAGTCAATAAAGAAATGAACTGACCTTTATTGTCCTGTTGAAATAAATTCAATCAGGGAATTATGAACAATCCTGTAGATAATTGAAGTTCTTTATGAAGGGCGGCCTGCTTGATCATCTGGGCTACCTGTTCTTGCCATCTAGATATTTCAACAAGTTATCTATTTTGTTTGTTTTAATATATCATTATGTTTATTAATCGCATAACCTATTCTGCTGCGTTTCTGAAAAGTGTACAACCTTTCGTTGTGAAAGTTACAAAAAACTCAATAAGAGACAATGTGGTTGCTGGCAATATACAGTGAAAAGAATGCACATTATTCAGATGTTCATTTACTGAACTACTAACATCTAGCTGGCGATCACTCGATATTTATCGCCAGGACCGACCAAGAAGAAAGAAACGGAAACTTGTTGAGATGCTTTACGCTGAGAATTCTATATTGTACCAAAAATATAATACTGAATAAAGCTGATAATAATAATAATAATAATAATAATAATAATAATAATAATAAAAGGTCTAAATTATTATTATGACACTTTAGATGGTGATTCATATAAAAAAATTTAACTTTTAATTTGAATGTCTTCTTATGAAGAAATCGGATTACATTCAGTTAGTTGAATATTATCGTAATTTAGGATCTGGTAAGTAATTGTATTTATTTAGATGATGACTTGATTATGCCTACAGTTGTTCAGTTCTTACTGCCCCAAATATCCTGGTACGGTCGAAAGTGAGGAGAGTCAGCTCTCTTTTTCACCAAATGCTTTCAGTTGGTCACGTGCATAAAACCACTGTCACAGAAGTCTTAATCATAGCCTTTTCAAAGCATTATTACTGTTTACGAAATTGAGAGGATGAAAAGCGAATGTCCAGTACTTTAACCCTCCTAGGGGAGTTGGAAAACCATAATTCCAAACCATATGTGCACATGGACTCCACGGTCATGAAAGAACAATTGGCGTATGAGTCAAGCGTTGGTCACTGGCTACCATGAGACTGCATCATTACGAAAACAGATTATTTATCATCTTTATTTCTTATTGAACAGGTCAATTAAGCCTAAAAATCACCTTATTGTTTATATTTACAAAAACGTATATTAAAGCTAGACTACCGTTGAAAACCTGGGAGAACTGGACGGGACTCCTATACAATGCGCACCCATGAAGCCAGAGCCTTCGCGCAAAAGGTTTAACCTCTAGGCCACTGGGCCAGCATCCAACGGTGTTAATGTCTACCTTCAACCAATCCATGAAATTGCGTCACCGTCCACCATTTTCTTTGGCGAGCTACTATCTCACAACAGACCCCGTTGAACTCCACTGATCACGGCTTCGCACTAGAACTTCAGGAAATACCTCTTGTAAAAACTGTTACAGGCTAATACAGTTAAATGATAGACTCATCCTAATGACCTAATTTAGCATTAGAAAATACCTAGAAAAGAAACCTACAAAAACTACGATTGGACATATGAAAAGGTATGCCCAAGATACAACTAAAGAGCCAGTTATAAACATAGAAAAAATGATATAGAGTGCCAATCAA